TGTAGCCTAACCTACGCATAATTTTTTAACAACATCTGCAAAATTCCCTTAAGTTTTACAAAATTTCTTCAACTTCTTTGAAGCTCCCTGAATTAATTCAAAATTCCATATTTTTTCCATCTCTCTTAATTCTACGATTGTTTTTGAAAAGCTCCCAACATTTAAAATATTCATGAAAATGTGGATACTTCTTTGAAATTTAACGAAGTTTCCAAAACTTCCAAGAAGTTCCTTGAGCTTTTCAGAAGTAAGATCTCTGATAAACTGCAACGAAGTTCCCTAAACTGAAGCGAGGATCACTGAAGCTCTAAGAATTTTGCTAAACTATTTTTAAATCTTCTACAAAATTCCCTGCACTTATATAAAGTTTTATGCAGCTTCTCAAAATGCTACAAAATTCTCAAAACTTCAACAAGGTTTGCTGCACTTTTACGTTTCTCGATGATTTTCCACGAAGTTCCACGCACAAAATTTCTTGAACTTCCTCGTAATTCCCTGAACTATTACAAGCTCATGAGGCTTCAAAAAGTATCTTGGTATCGTATGAAGATCCCCGAACAATAATAAGGTTCTCTGAAATTAAATAATGTTTAACTTCTACAAAACTTTTCCAAAGCTCCCTGAGTTTCTACGATGCTCTATTAAGATCCCAGAATTTATACTAAGTTTCGTTAATTTGAACGATGTTCTCTGAACTTTTAAGAAGTCCTTACAGTTCTACAAATTTTCTTGAGGTTCAAGAAACTCTCTGAACTCTTGGCCAATTTGTAGACCCTGAATACGTCTTATTATACTATCAATTAAATGTCGATGTAATATAAATTATCGAATCAAGTCTAGAACATTAATAAAAGTAGACGTTCATAAAAATCAATACCAATAGAAAGTAACCTTGACAAAATTCCGGTGTGTAAAAAGAACATGCAAAATTCCTTGTGGGGCCTAGATAATTCTGAAGGTAGCCTGGCCCCCTTCCCGATCAGAAAGGCACAACAAACTTATAACAACTGGAGTTATTTATTTAACAAAATTTAAAATGTAACAAAATGTGTTATAAATGTGTCAAAAATCATAACAAAAATTCGTCTAGTGGTAACAAAATTATAACAGACGTTGATATGATTATATCAAAATTATTACAAAATTAAATATAATCTATTGCATTCAAAAATATACATCTATAACAACCGGTGTAATAAATTAGATATAAAATTTGCCATATTTTTGGTTATGCCATTTCGATTTCACTTTTTTTTAACCTTAGTCAAATAATTAATTGGAATTCATCAACTGTAAGTTATTTAAATTAATTAAGAACCATTTTCTTGGCTTCTTTTTCCATAATATGTCAGAATTCGCTTCATAATGTGTAGTGTTTCATCAGCCAAAGATTTTGCAGCAGCTGGTTTGTCTCCCCGATAAATGCGGAGTTCCAACAACTGATCTGAGAGAAAAATTAGCTGTTTTAGTAATTCTGAATGAATGAATGAAAAATTAAAGTTACCTCGCACATATTTCACATCTTCCACATGGATTGTTAGAGGACCTTCCATCAAACCATGAGATTCCTATGGTGATGGAATTTCATTCATCATCTGGTTCAGAAGCAGTAGGCAGCCAATCTATTTCGGATCGCGGTCGGTAGAGTTTTCTGATGACGAATCAGAAAAATCGGAAGATTTTATACAAGCAGAATTCTTTAAAGGATACGATGAACGATGTTCCAGATCGGTATTTATTATCTTATTTATTCAAGGTAGACAAGACTGAGAACATCCTATCTTTTTTCAGGAGCCTTCGAGTTACAATAAATAGGCAAAATTTCATGACAACATTCGTATCAAAGACATAATGTTTATGGCACTGAATTTTTACATAAGGCACAAGCTTACCCAAGGAGGTTTGGAAGACTTTATGAAAATGTTGAATGTTTTCACGATAGGCAAAACTTTTCCCGAAAACTTTACCACTTTTACTTATGCTTTCCCAGCTCCGAAAGGGTTTATTTTTGTGTGAATTGTTATTATTGGTATGTCGTCTTCTTGTTCAATAATGACAGCACACTAACAACCTATTTAATTTTAAGATATGAAGCTGCTCTACAACCTGAACCTCTATGCCCTGTGGAAAACTGTGGATCAATTAAAACGGACTTTTTTGTTACTTTTCCCATAGAGCAGCAGATCAGATAATCTTTTTTGAAATACTCCAAAGAGATAGCTGAATACGAGACACCGGTTATTACTGAATAAATTCGCGATTTAAGCCGTTTATGATTTAAACAATCTTTGACAATCATTCGAAAATCTTATCATTTCTTACTATTTATACACATGATGATCGTCTAATAAATCGTCTAATCGTCTAATGATCGTCACTTAGAAACAGAAAATAGTGAATAAATTTATATTTTGGAATCATTAGTACATATTTCATGCATTGATAGTAATTATAACTGACTTTGTTATAATTCTGATATGATGAGAAACTTCGCACAAACCACTTTTCCCTAATATATCAAAATATAACACACGTTGATATAAATATCAACCATTGATATAATTGTGTTATATTTTTGTTATGCCCTTCTGATCGGGTTTGCACCCCCGTTAGCTACGCCAATGGTCTTACTGAACTATCATTGTTAGAATCTGCGCCGCAGCTAGAAAATCACTTAAGGTGCCCTGATGTAAAACTAGTACGTATTTATGCAACTTAAACAGTATTACCCTAGGGGTATCCCACTCTAAACTTTGTATTTTTCGCTTTGTACATATAAAGTTCTTATTGATATCTAAGATACCAGGAAATACTTAAAAATACTTAAGAAATATTTAGTGTCAGATTGTTACCACCGTTGCTAGACAAATTTAATTTGTTTGTTCACCCATAATAACAATTCAGCTGTGGAAAAAACAGTGCTTGGAATATTTACATTCTGAAAACAATATGTTTTCTTTTCAATAGTGCTACTTATACCTTGAGCCATATGTACTTTGATATTTTTACAAGAATTGCGCTTATTTCTACACCTCTATAACGTATGGTAAAAACGAGTATTTTCAACCAAGGCCCCTAAATATTTAGGAAACAAATTGCCGCCGTGGCTTATTTGCATTATGCCTGATATCACTGATCGTATCATCGGAATCTTTGAATCGTTTGCTCATTCTGTTTTAATTCATTCGTTTCCGTTCCCGATTGGGAAATTACTTCATTGTGTTATAGATGTATTTTTCGTCCGTTAGGATCATGACCGTGTAACTTAGGACAATTAGCTTAGGATTGAATCTGAATCATAAGTTGTGCAAGCTATCCGCACCATACTTATGGAATTCGGAGTGCCACATCTCATGCACACTCAGTACACTTTAACAATAAAATAACTAAAGTTTTAACTGCTGAGCACTCAGCGGTCATTTCAGTCAATAACTTGTCACACAACTGCAAGAATGTGGAGAAATTCAATGGAGAATAATTAAATAAATGGTGATAATTTGATATTATTTTATTTATTAAAATTCATTATAATTTATAAAAGGTAAGGAACCTACCGACAGACAGACGCGAACCTGTAAAACATACACATGGGTATAGGTCAGATTTACAAATTCAAATCCGGCAAAGTCATTCCCAACAGGGAAATGTTTCTAAACAAATTTAGCACCTAGACCGAATTCAATTCCTTCACAAATGAGACGTCTGTGACAACTTTGGGTTCCCCTCATTCGAGATAATTTCATTAAACGTCTGTTCATTTCTTAACCAGTCCGTTTAAAGTATCGCATTATAAATACTTTTTTTTCCTCCATTACTTCGCTCTTGGTAGTGGATGGACTTCTTTGCAAAGTATAAATGATTTGGATTCGTCAACCATTGCTTCATCTTCTCCTCCTTCAGCATATATCGGAAGAAATCCTTGAAAAGCATGCCTGAACATAATCAGCTCGAAACATAGGTAGTGCCAAATCCATGTAACTAAAATGTTGGTGTCACAGGTTGCATCCTTCTGACTAACACCCAGGACAATACGATCCAGGGTAACGTATGAAGACGTGTCCACATTGAATTCTGAGGGTTACTTCTTTGTTCTTCATGGGGACATAGAAATGAGCTTCCTCCTGCAGCAACTCGCCACTCGCGGTGTCCAAAAAACCTTGGAGCTGCAATCATGCAGAAAGAACATGAAATCAAACGCAGTATACCCAATAGCTTAGAACTTACGTACACATCAAGGAACTGCTTCAAGCACTACCAACACATTTCTGTGAGAAACAACAATAAACAACTGCACTAGCAACCGGTCACTATGTGAACATAAGGCAAGATTTAAAATACTTAAAAATACTTAAGAATACTTATGAGCGATTGGAAAATATTTAATGTTTCTTAGAGCTAAAGTTTAGAGTGGGATGCCCCTAGGTATTACCTAAAACATTTTGTGTATCGAAAAATAAAAACCGAAAACATTGAGGTGAAATCTGCTTTGTAATACCGTAAAATTATCATATAATTTCATACAGTGTAACCAAACATGCTGCTAGATTTCGCTTCCTTTATCTCACTTCTAGTTCCAAATGGCAATAAGTGAAGACCACTTCAATCAATAAAACAAATAAATAAAACAGTCACACTTTGATCGACTTCTAGCGTACTCGAAAAAATATCCAATCATTGTCTTTGATTCAATAAAATAATACATGTTTTATAAAATATCACTACTACACTTCCAAATTAGAAGTCTTTTGACACATATTGGATATTTCTCCCACATCCGTACGCTAGAAGTTTATCTAAATCCTATACGTAAATCACCAATAAAAATTAACATACATCATTTCCAACTCAATTAGCAATTCCACTAACATTCCAATGTATCCAGATTAAAGCTTCTAATGTTGATAGAACTAGCATTTCTCAATCATGAATCCATGACGATACAAAGTCGCGATCACGCGCCCCATCCGACGTAGGCCCCTCTCGATAACCATCATAATTACCTGCTTTGTTTTGTTCTGGAAATTCTGTTCTGCGAAAAACCCACACCGACAATCTTTTCACACAGCACTCAAGCGAGATCCAAAATCAGCAAACAGGAAACCGGAAATTTATACACGGCCAACACAGCATATCACTTGTTTGATGAGATTCTTGGGGTCAAAAACAATCAACTTATCAACAACTGGTTTATGACCCGTTTAGCTGCTATTTAATGACAATCCCATTCATCCACTGATGTAATTTAAGTACGTTACAATCTTTGAAACTGGTTGCGCGCCTGGCTCACTCAGTCCTCGATGAAAGACCTACTCTATTGAACACTTATTGGCTCATATCGTCACTCTCTGGAGGTGGAATGATGTATGAATTTTGCACTTTCAACACCGGCAAAGCAAACTCGTTTGCAAACAGTTAACACACTTTTTTTTATTATTTTCTCCGGCGAGCGATTGGGACCGCTAGAGCTGTATTTTCATTCATAACAACCACCAGGAAGAAGGGTGGTTCCTTTCGCTTCACACCTTCCTGGACGATGCAGAACAAACACCGTGTATTTCTTTTTATCTGCCTTCTTGCAACACGCTGCAGCACGCGAAGAAGAGTTTTTCACACGTTGTTGGAACACTCTTCTCTTCCTGTTGGTTTAGGATACCAAACAGATTTAAAACCGCGCCGAAACTACGTTACAGATCCCTCAAAGACACTACACAGAACAAGAGATATCTATTTGAAGCGAGCTATCGCGGCCAAGCAACCAAAGACAACTGAACAACAATCTGTTGCTGCTTTAGCTACTACCCAAAGGTGGAGACTCTCACTCTCGACTGTGGAACTTGATCGGGGCCCATGGGCCGATATGTATATCCGTTTGCATGCAGGGGAGAACGGGGTCGCCTGATATGCGAGTCGGAAGCCGGTACCAAATGTCCGATCAGGAATGAATTCAATATGGAAAACTGAAGTATTACAGAGTGTTCCATAATGGATGCTACTGACAGGCCTGTCACCAGCGTTGCCAGATTTATCTGGATTTTCCAGATTTTTAGTCGTCTTGCCAGGTACACAGACAGACCACGTATATGTTACACATTTTACCAGATTTTTTAAACATGCTTTAAAAATATCACTGCAATTCATTTACCATCTAATCAAAAAATAAAAAGCCAAACTGGCTACTTTATTAAAGTCCATCAACGTTGGACATTATTGTAATTTTAAGGTAATTCTGAAAATAGTTCACAGTGAAGTGTAAGGTGAATTCCTTGTAAAATCAAACGAGAATTTCAAGCTAATTCTGAGTAGAGTTCCATCCATCTTTGTGGGCTTCGTGGTCGTGCGATTTCACCCGTCGTTCAGGCGTAGTGCGAGTGCCACGAAGTGAGGGTTCGATTTCCGCTCCAGCCGGTGCAAAATTTGACTACCTGAAAATGTCCCTACTGATCTACTGGTTCTGGGTGTGGTGTGTTGTCCGTTGTCTAGTGTTAAATATACAGTCTGTGCAAATTCTGGTTGAAGATGGTGTCAATTGTCTTGTCAACGCTGATGACAATTGCATGGAAATTTGTGAATAAAGGAAATACAATCCGGAAGAGAAATCATAGAAAATTAGTATGATGAAACTTAAGGAGAATGCTGATACGAATCGTGAGAATAATTTCAATTGAATTCTGGCCAATGTTTCTATGGAGATTCATTTTAAGACATTTCAACGGAATTATGCGCAATTTCTGGGAAACATTCAAAACCATTTTGACAAAGTACTTGAATAATAAGGAAATACTGAGGAAGATTTCAAAACAATTTTTACCTACAAAGCAGTTCAAAGGGAATTATCAGATGAGTCTGAGAAGAGCGTGGTGGTTATTCTGAAGAGTGTACCAAGGAAATTATTATTATTTTTTTTTTCGAGAATTTCATAGAGAAAAATTGACACAAAATTGTGCCAATTCTTGGGAATTATTACCAGTTTGAGGGAATTGTGGAATTGGAGATTGATTTATAAGAGATTACAAGAGGTAATGCGAAGAACTCCTATAATGTAACTGGAAAAGTTTGGATATTATAAAGATTATTTTAGGGGAATATAGAAAAGAAGTATGATGGTATTCTAGGATGATTCAAATGGAACTAAAAAAATGGTGAAAATATCCTGTGAAGAGTTCTAAGTAAATTCAGAATAACAAAAAATGTCATGATCGGGAACCGAGGAAAATCCGGAATTTAGAATTATTTTAAGATCCTGAGATTTCCAAAATAAAGCTATCAGACTTTCATTTTAGTAATTATTAAATTAATAATAAGTAAATTATTCTTTGGCATAAAATTATTCGTAATGGTCATGCGAAAAGTGGAATAACCCGTAGTTTAGGTAAACTGTGTGTGAGTACCACTATGATAGACTTTGATTCCCATTTCAGCCAGGTGAGTTTTGCTTCAAAATAAAATTGCCTACTGGTCTACTGGGTGCTGTGCGTTGTATGATGTCAAGAATTAAATTTTAAATCTGAACCTCAGGGTAATATTAGAATTATTATTAGGGGTGTGTTAAAGTGACTATAATAAGAAAAAAATTAGAATTATTAAGAACTAATAAAATCTTTAAATACTGGAATTGCAGCAAATAGTAAGGATCGATTATTATTAGTCAAAACAAATCCATCCCATGAAATTTGCTTGATTCTTTGCTTTTCATTCTTTTTAAAAAAGATACAGTTTAAAAAACAAATCTAAACATATTTTCTGCAGTATTTTATCCACATTTGACTAAATTTTTGAAATGCTGCGTAATGGATATTTGGATGACTTCAGCAATGCTAACAAGTTATTTGATTTATATAATTAATTTAAACAAGTAATTCATAACCATTCTAGTACTTTAAATAAATTCCAGGTGATCATACTGACCGATTTTTACGGGAGATTGGCACATAACTTGGATTTCAATAGCATATTACTTCACGATGCTATCGTATCATGAGTTATGAATTTTCAAAATACAGGATGGTCGGGAAATCCTAAAACTTCATAAAAAATCAGCTAAGAAACTTGTTCCAGTAACTCCCGGTATCGAAATGAACAACTTTTATCATACTTTGACTATATGTTTAAGTATTATTTCTACGTGAAGTCAACGATTTACATAGTTGAAGATGCTAATTTCAAATAACAGACTGTAGTGGTAATTTTTATACGATAGATGGAGTAGATGAAAGCATAGAGTTGATAGTTCCGTTAGAGTACGGCAGTGTGAAGATTGCATATAGATATTAGAATAGCGAGCTAGGACAATGTTTAAGGAAGGTACAAATCGGTTTTTTCATCTCTCTTTACCAAAACCCCTCACCACTCCTCTCCAAAGGGGGAGATAGATGCTATCGTATAAAAATTACCACTGCAGTCTGTTATTTGAAATTAGCATCTTCAACTATAAAACTTTTATCATGTATGTACAAAAATCGATAGCAGTGGCATTAAAGCATTTTAGAACGTAACTAGGACCAAGAGATGTGCATATGAAAGAACAGCCAATAAGGCCGGAACAAACCTCAAGTTTTTCTTTTGTCAACCCCCCCCCCCCCCTTCTTCAAAATTTTGGAATATCACAAAGGATTATCATGCACCAGCTGACTTTCATTTGTGTTTTTCATGGCTTTTACGCAACTTTGTTGTTGTCTTATCAAGCAGCACTTCTAGCATAGCATCTGTACTCAAAATCCTCCATGATAAATCCTAGAATTGGAATGAAAGTTCAAAGAAAAACTCAAAATAAAATGAAAAAGTGCATCTTACTCCCGGGGTGCGTTATGTACTGTTCTCCCCTAGATTTATTTGTCATGCACTGGGTCATCTGTCATTCGTTTTTGCGCGTTTTCTTGCAACGTATCTCGTACAGAACAGTCATTCAGCTATACAAAGTGTCAAAATATTTCACGGCGGTGTGATCTCGTGTTTTAACTCTTGCATCTCGAGTCGAAGCTTAGATTCAATAATGATTAATTGTTGTTACGTTGTTGTTTACAAACTTTTATTTGTAACCGACTTGGGTAGAACAATATTCGCGTTCGGAAAGCGTCGTATGACAATATCACGGAACATCACGGACACCTGGAGCTGCGCCGATTTGGCTTCCCATCGATACACTCGTGTATGGCACGGATCAGACGAATAACAGAACAGGATCGAGTATCGCTAAATCAGTTGGGTATGGATACTCGCTTTGTTTGATTTTTTTATGTTTTAGAATATAACCTTGCTATTTTAAGGTATTTTTACATAAATTTGAACTAGACCGGTACGGCATGCCAGGTTCTTGAAATCGGATCAGCCGGATTTCATCGAACATCATTCCAAATCTTGTTTGGCAACTCACTAGGTAAGCCGCCTTCAATTTGATCGATCCCCTTGTTCGCTGCACACATCTTCGTTTTATTTCAGTCGGTTCGCTACCAAGAACCATTTTCATTGGGTCGTTATCCGACATTGTTACAATATGCCCAGCCCACCGTAGTCGCCCGTTTTTCGCATTTGATCTAAATTTCTTAACTTACAAACAATGATTCAATTCTTTTCTACAGTGATTCAACAATTTCCGAGCTAAATCCAATCTTTTCAAAATTGGTTTAGAACTGAGACCAAATCCGAAATTTCTAATTGAGGTGACACTTTTCAAAGCAGATTCAAAGCTGAGTCTGAACTTTTTTGAAGTGAGTTCAAACTTTCGAATAAGTCATCAACAATGTTTCTACCTGAGTCTAAACTTTTCTGTTATGTTATTCAATCCTTTTCAAAGTTGTCAAAGCTTTCCTTAAATGATTCCAAATATCCCGAATCCAAGCTTTAAATAATTGGTTTCGCATTTTCTGAAGTGAGGCAACATATGCTGATTCATTCCCTTTCGTAAATAAATCCAAAGTTTCCTGCATTGATTCAACTTTTTCCTAACTGAATCCAAACTAGTCAGAAAGGGTTTGACATTTCCTAAGTGATTCTCAGTTAACTGCTTTGGCATTTGGTAAGGACACAATCTTGTTTAGGTCATCTAGTTTTTCTTAAAGTGTAGAAAGTTGTCCGATGCGAAACGACACTTTTTTGAGCTTAAATTTTCCAAATGGAGTCAAACCTTTTCTGAAGTGCTTCCATACCTTCCTTAGGGAGTCCAAAATTTTCTGTTGAGTGATTGAATTACATTTAATGTTAGTCTGAGCTTTCCTGAAGTGATTTAATAACTTTGAACGTGGATTCCGGTCCCCTAGACCCCTTTCTCGTTCTTGTGAAATGCACATTCTTCCAAAATTAAGCTGATATTTTAAAGAATGTACCTTCGTGTGGTAGATTTTTTTAAGCAACCACAATTGTTGTGAAAACTGGGTTTACATCAACAAAAGTACGTATTTTTATTGAAATTTGCCAAGTTGGATTTTGGCTCCATCCTTTGAAAAACAGGCTTGGATTTTAAAGACTAGACCTATGTAAGTTCATTGGTGATGGTAGATTTTTTTGAAGACTGGTCGAACTTCGGTTCTATCGTTTGAAATTTGTGCTTGGATTTTATAGAATGCAGCTTGCTGAATCCATGCGTGAAGGTTGAATTTTTAATTTTTTGAGAAAATCGAGTTCTCAAAAGCACGTATATTCAAAAAAATGTGGGTTTCCTGTTCAGTCAAGTTGAATTTCGGCTCCTTCCTTGGAACATAGGCGTGGATTTTTAAGAATTGCTGAATCCATACGT